TATGTATTTTGCTCAAAAAATCGAGTTGCAATTTATAATTAGGCATTACTAAAAAGTGAATGTAAGCATGCATCTTGAAGAATTTATTACATCTGTCATCATAATGGCAGTAGGATATCTCTCATCTTACAGTCTCTCTACTAACTACCTGATGCCCCTTTTTCAAGGGCTAATGTGTCAATAGAGAAATGGTGAATGTGTTGTTACACACATTCCTTGTAAATACATGAATGTAAATCCTGTGTGGTCTGTCTATCATATTTTATATTTAACAGATATTTGCATTTCTCAGGCCCTGAGATGGCTCTCAGTTTCATCAAGGCCATAATACAGGAAATAGTTCATGGCTCCTTTGCTTGAAGTTGCCTTTGCTTCTCTCCATTTGGCTTCTCCTGCTGCAGAAATGGTAAAAGTAGGACAATGAACCTGTTTTCTTGTAATCTTTTAAAGAAACTACTAAGTACATTTTTATATAGCTGCAGTCATGAATTGTTCCCACATGAATTAAGGTACTGTTGATGGCACTTTAAAAGGCATTTCTTTTATCAACAACTTAACCATGTAGATAGTCCACATAGTTTACAAAGAACACTTAAGGAGGAAAGACTGGCAGATGAAAAATCCCAGGTATGTGGTGTTTAGTATAATAAAGCAGATCTTGACTTGTCAATTAATTACTATACAAATGAAACAAGCACTCAAAATGGAGAAATAGTGTGTCAGAAACTGATTTATGATGTATGCAGATATTTGGTGTACAGTTCAAAGTTCTTACCAGAATGAACTGAAGGAAAGTCCAGGTGTAAGATAAGAACAGTTCTTGCTTATTAATGGTTCAAAAAGGCATTGAAAAAAATGTTTCAACTTTGCTGTTAGAAATAAGTGGATATAGACTGAATCCCCATTTCAGAATCACTCTGTAAGAAAAGAAAATCACAGGGCAGGAAAATAAATAAACATTTTAAAAACCTTGGAAAGGTGTTCCAACATTCTGTTATTCTATAATCAGTCTTCCTAATTATGTGTAGAGAACTATTAATCACATTCAGAAACACAAAGCATGAGCAAATTATCACAAGACACACATTATTTGAACTTATTTGTGATAGTTGACCAGGGCAAGGCACTGAGTCCTTTGTAAATGAGATTGTAAAGAAATACAGCTTGTATTGAAGTGTTAAGTAGGTACTATGCTGTTGCAGCAGGCTGAGAATATGCATGCAGGCAATCGGTGCATACCAGCTGTTTCGCTGTAACTGGCTGATGTGCCATAGCTTGTTCAGGTGTCAAGAATGGCACAGGGAGAGCAGAGCTTATCTCCCACAAGAGGTATGTGCTAGGTGACTCCTTGGAATTCCTCCTACTCCTATAATTCTACCTACTGTACTGAAGGGAAGCTAGTTGATGAAATGCTGTCTGAATATGGCAGAAATTCAAAGCATGACTATTTGGTGCCACAGTCTGTTTAAAGCATAAGTTCCCGCATATTTAATATATTTTGATTTTCATACATTAGGACACCCTAAGTTTGCATCACTCAGCAACGTTTCTGGAATTTGTTGGAATGATCATCCCTTTTCCTTCCCTTCTCTTATTTATTGCATGAGTTTTCAGCCACAGTGCCCATGGATACCAAGATGCCTGCCCTAGAGTTGGACTCTGGCTGCGATCTGGACAATAATACAGATGATGAATATATCAATCAAGTCATGAAAAAGACGTTAAAATGGCTAACCGTGGTTTATTTACTGTGGTTCGCTTTCCATTGAAAGTTAGTCAGACGTAAAGCTAACATGAGTTAATGTTATACATTAGTTATACAAAAGTTTAGGTAAAAATATGTAAAAAATAGCTATATGAATTTATTCACATGTAAATCTAATGTGAATTATCACTGTTAAAAGTTTCCCTCATTATAATCATTGTCTTCATGTTTATTAAACCTGTAGGGAGATTAAATTACATGTAGTTTCCATTCTTACAGTTGAAAGACTGCTAAATGCATGACAGTCTTAATGCCTTTTCCCCAGAAAGCCCTGCAGTACTCTTCAGGGAGTCTTGTATCAACAGATGGGTACAACTGTGATGGAGCTGACTAAATCAGAAATACGGCAGTTGCAGCAATGCAGTCTAACAGAAAACTTGCCTTGGTTGTGAAGAAGTGAATTACTGCCCTCTCTTTTAAGAAAATTTGCTTTCTGCAGTCAATTCTTGATGACATCATACACCTTCTTTGTATTTTTGCAGAAGGGCTGAATGCCTTATGGGAATACTTCCTGAAGTAAGATAGTCATACATGGCATTGTTGATAGGTGTTAACATTGCAAGCACAGTAGAATGCTGACCTGTCAAGTTTACTCTGTGTCTTTTCCACTAGAGAAAGAACTTTGTGCTGTAGTAATATAAATTGGCCAAAATAACATGAGGATTTGAAGGTACTGAAGTAACTGCACTTATAATGATGCTGTATTTGTCATTTTGGGAAAAAAAACATAATCCATGTAGGACATTGTTTTCTAGTTCATCCTAGTTTGTGTCTTTTCAGCAAACAGCCATCAATGCCTTTATTTTTCTTAAAGTATAAATAATAGAAGCAAACTTGCCTGCTTATTAACTTGGTCTCTAGAGATTTTTGAATGTTCCTAGCCTGATGAATGACCCACTTAATTAGTGCGTATATATATATATGCACATATTTGTCTCTTCTGTTCATTGTGGAACAAAGGATTTCTGTGAAAGAATCTCTTGTGCTATTTTTCATATCTTAGCAGAGGCAGTACATTTAAATAATTCAGTGGCATCAGCAAGGGGTAACTGTAGTTCAGTTACTGACACATTAATTTCAGTTTAGCAATGAAACTGTAAGGAAAATAACCCAGTTTGAAAAGTTTTAAGTTGAGCTGACTGGAATGGTCTGAAGATGGTGGAGAATTTTCTGGGGGAAAAAAAGACTTAGAAGCTTTCCTGACAAAGTTCAAAAGTAGCACTGAAACACTCTCTCTTAAAAAAAGGAATACTTCTGTTGTTCATTGACAGTACAATGATTTTGACTGTGTAATATCACAGACCTTATTATTTCACATTTATGAAAGTCTACACTGTTGCATTGTGGTATTGCATCTGAAGTTGAAAAAACAAACCAGTCCAAAAATTACATCTATAGGCAATTTTTAGACACTTTGTTCCAGGCTATGTCCACGGTCAGTTCTGTTGTACTATGTAATGCAGCATTTGTTAATAATGATTTAGCATGAAGTCAGTGAAGTATGTGCTTGTGCGTTTAGAAGTTACTTTTGCATCTAAAGTAATGTAGGAGAGGAGAAGGGAAGAATTGGGTGGTTGTAAAAACAGGATGGTTAGTGATCAAGGGAGGCTGGTGAGTGATGTAGTTTTAAGTTAAAATAGCAGGATAATGCCTCAGATTGTAATCTGCCAAGAGCTATCTGCATCTAGTGAAGTAGGTGAGTTCCTTGCTGAATCATTCCAACAAAAGGACTTAATTTCCAGAAGAAAGGCTCTGAAGCTCAATAAAGGAATTTATCTTTCTATGAGTTACTGGTTTTGAAGAGGAAATAAAAAAATTTGGTCAGTCTTTTTGATTTAGAGGAGGAACTTAAAATTTCACTGTACTTGCAGTTTTTGTTACAGAAGTAAGAATTCACGATCCTCATGAAAAACTGAATTTGGCCAAGTCATAAGCCTCTGAGGAACATTCCTGTCTATGTACTCAGTAGAAGCTTCACTGTTTTTAACATCCAAAGTATTTCAAGATCCTGTTTCAGTCAGCTGACCAGATCTCTTTGCAGAAATAATTTGCTCTGTTTTATGCCAGATTAAAGGTGCTAAAATGGATTTTCACTATAAAGACTTACCTAATTCATACTAGTTGGGAGGGCAAAAGGAAACTAGAATAGAAGAACAGAAAATAGGGACTGTCTGCTTTCTTTAGTGTATGTGTGTGGACATGTATATATATACACACACACATATATAAAGAGTGCGAATATGTGCATATATGTGCATATGTATATAGAGAGTTGTTTGTATACATTTGTATAAGTGTACATATATAGAGAGGTATATACAGACAGTGTTGCAGTACCAGAGTGCTATGCAGTTCTAAAGGTATGTGGTAACAAACTGTACCTATATGGCTTTCGGGCTGACTCACTTCTAGGGCATTCTGTATTGCCACTTGCAATGATTAAAAAGGGAATCTTACTTTAAAATAGGTGAAATTAAAGAAAAGACCAAAACAACCTTTTAGATCTATTGCCTTCTGATACTTCAACTTAAATCTGATTGTATTTTAAAGGTGCTCTGTGCAATCACAAGGTTTAGGAATGTGTTCATAAAATTAGAGAGTCTCACTGAACTGGATGAACATGTACTATTGTTTCTTTTAATAAAGTACGGGAGTTGACAAATGTAAAGACTCACGATCACCAAGAAGTAATGTATTCCAAGTAACATTGAGCAAAACCCTGCAAGTCTTAATATTGAAAGAAACACAGATGACTCATATGCAGTATGTGGGAAGGAACAGATATTACAAGTGTGTGAAATCTGATTGTTTCTTATAATCAGTCTGAAGACACAAGAAAGTAACTATTAATCTCTGCTGACTTTAATCTCTTGACAGAAATAATTCCTGCCTTTTTCTCTTCTTCCCAGCTTCCTAATTCCTCTGAGTGGAAACAGACTGAGACAATACAACTTCTAAAATATGGAAGCATTTATCTAAATTAATGTAGCCATTATTCAGGAAATAATTGCTTGTTCAACAAGATAATAGGTTTTTGATTACAGTTTGTTACATTGTAGCTGTAGATGAGCTATGCCAGCTTTCTTTAACTTCTTAATTGTTGTGTGTGTTTGTTGTTCTTGTTGTTCGTACTTGATGTATTTAAAGAAGGTACATTTTCCCCACAACATACGCAACAATCAAATGCACTTCTCAGTATATTATATTTTAAAATATTTTTTTCTTTTTTTAACAGAAGGAAGGAGAAAAAAGTCACAAAGTCCGACTAGCGGTTGGAAATGGAGTAAGAAATGATGTATGGAGAGAATTTTTAGACAGATTTGGTGCTGTTAAGATCTGTGAGTTTTATGGTGCTACTGAAGGAAACATTTGTTTCATGAACCACACAGGAAAAATTGGATCTGTTGGACGCACCAATTTCTTTTATAAGGTAACTATTTATTTACGTTGTACTTTTCAAAAGGGAGCACTGAAGGTATATGTGTTTCTCAGTTTGACCACAGGACATGAGGCTACAATCATAAGTCCAAGGTAAATTTTCTAACTTAGTTATTGCAAATTTAATTGACCCTCTGTAAAATCTTGGCTGCCAAAGTATTGCAGATAGTGCTTAGCACCCAGTGCAGTTATACTTTTCAGCAGTAACACTTAGATAAAGTTCACAAGAGTCAAAAAGGCCTTGCCTGTCTTCTGACAGTTTTGAGTAGGTTCTGAGTATCATTTCAAATCTCTACTGTATTAAAGGACAAAAGAGGAAGTTGGATTTGTTTTAATACCTAAGAACTCATCATCTGTGAAATAAACATACGAGTGTCCTGTTTTGACTTGGTGTTCTACAGATTATATTTAGAGCTGTTTTCAAAGTGTATATTAAATATTTATCATATATGGGAATTAATAGTACTGAAAGTAACATATAGGCTGATAGAGCCTTAAGAAACATTTTATAGCTAGGTGCAATTAAATGTAAGTAACTCAATTAAACTACTATACATCTAGTCTGTATCATTATTCAGAAATTTCAAAGATAACACAATACAAATACAGTCACTGTTGAATAATTGTGACAAATAATACTTGCCAAGGGTATTAATTTAAAAATTCTATGCCCCTTTATCTACCAAATCTGCTACATTTATGTGGTTTGGTCTAAGTTACTAAAATTAGAAAAAACATACATTTTTTCACTGCTTATTCAATAGTCTCTGTTTTGTATTTCCTCAGCTTTGACAATGGAAGTTATATGTCTTGGGGAAGATGAATACATATTATTTATATCACTCATGCTGGCTTTTCCTTCATCCTGCGTAAATGAAGAATTTACTTCAGCTTGATATTCACAGATAGATTTTTCCCTTTGGGTCCTATTAATACCATCTCTTAAATGGTTTGACAAGTCAGTAAGTAACATGTGTCCCAAGCTTTAGCAAGTAACATGAAAGATTATTCAGCAAGGCTTTCTAGCAAGGAGACTAACATTATGTTGTTATTTATGCCCATTTTTGGAATCATAGAATCATTTAGGTTGGAAAGACCTTTAGGATCAGCCAGTCCAACCAGTAACCTAACATTACCAAGTCCACCACTAAACCAATTCAGGGTAGAGTAGCAATTTCATGTTTCCTGGCTTGGTGGCTGGATTCTTTTTTAGTGAAAGTAAAAACTAGGAATCATTAAGATTGGAAAGGATCTCCAAGATCATCAGTCCAACCATCAATCCAACACCACCATGCCCGCTAAACCATGTCCCAAAGTGCCACATCTACCCTTTTTTTGAACACCTCCAGGGATGGTGACTCCACCACCTCTCTGGGCAGCCTGTTCCAATGCTTGACTGAAGAAATTTCTCCTAATATCCAATCTAAACCTCCCCTGGTGCAGCTTGAGCCCATTTCCTCTCGTCCTATCACTAACTACTTGGGAGAAGAAACCAACACCCACCTCACTACAGCCTCCTTTCAGATAGTTGTAGAGAGCGATAAGGTCACCACTCAGCCTCCTCTTCTCCAGACTAAATAACTCCAGTTCCCTCAGCCACTCCTCATAAGGCCTGTGCTCCAGACCCTTCACCAGCTTCGTTGCCCTTCTCTGAACATGCTCCAGCACCTCAATGTCCTTCTTGTACTGAGGGGACCAACACTGGACACAGTATTCAAGGTGCGGTGTCATCAGTGCCAAGCACAGGGGGATGATCACCTCCGTGCTCCTGCTGGCCACACTATTCCTGATACAAGCCAGGATGCTGTTGGCCTTCTTGGCCACCTGGGCACACTGCTGGCTCATGTTCAGCCGCCTGTCGACTCTTCTTTTTTTTTTTTTTACTCTTCTTTAAATAAATAGCACTACACGCATTGCCTAGAATTTGCAAATTAACTGAGATACCTATCTATACTGAGATACCTACCTATATATACAAAATCCTGCTGACTTAAGTGGCATTTTTGCTCCTGAGGAGAACTGATAGTAAAATATCCTGACAAATCTTTTTTTCAGAGAATGATGTAAAAAAATCATTTGGAAGTACATCAGAGGTATCTTCTGGTGACATTCAGATAGGTTTCTAGGCAGAGTATGTTCCACGGTCCAGAATTTCTTTACAGCATCATCACACTACAAGCACCACAGGCTACTTTACAACTCGGGGCCAAAGGAATTCTTCACTTCTGAGATAGGAGCACAGACTGCAGGGAGGAACATGGAAACACTCAGAAAAACACCACAAGAGCTAGTGTGTTTTTCAGAAACTCTTGAGAGCTCAGGAATTTAAGCAGAGCAACTCTGCTGATTTATGTTCTACATGACTGATGCTCTGTAGTATGCACAGTGCACATCTGGTGCTGATGGATGTCTATAGAAGGGTACAGGTCTAGTACAGGAAATCAGGAATCTGGAATTTAGGAAGTAGCAGGTGAACCAGGAACCTTAGCGCTGATGTTAATTTTTGTTTCAGACTTTTCTAAGCCACATGCTTTAATTATTTTAAACCTTTTATTTTTTTTCATCTTATGAAATTTTACATTTGTTCCAAACCTGACTAAACTTGTTTCAAGTATTTCAGAATTTTTGACAGAGTTTTGTCATAAGTCATTAACCTTTTGGGAATACCATGTAAAGGCTACAGCACTTAAAGGATTAGACTTGAAATTACCTATTTATTGATTTAATTATCTGTATTTTTAATCAAGTAGTGTGGGGGTTTTGCATGTATTAATAGTGGCACTTCGTATGTCAATAATATATGCTGTTTGTGTTTCCAAAAGGAAGATTACTATTTTGGGGTTTTTTGCACATGAAACATGCTACTTCTTCCTCTTAATAATTGGACTTATGGTTTGAGTTAGTCGCTGCAGATTAGGAGGAAAAATAGCTCATGCAAACTGCCATTAAAAAATGAATGCAGTTGTAACTGAACACTTGATCTCCGTAGACATCTTTTCTATAATTTATACACTATTCCAAGTTGGAACTGTTATAGTCTATGGAAACATCAGTATAGTCTGCTAAGATAATTATGGATTGTCCCCTTGCTTACTCAGTATGAATATGGAAAGACCATACGATATTTTATGAACTGGAAAAAGCCATTCATTCCATTTGGCTTGGCTTGAAACCAGTTTTATTCTGTCTTTTTCAATATTCTTTTTTCTCTAGAAATAAATCTACAGTAAGTCTTCAGTTATTTCCATTGTTTCTATCATAAGAAAAGTAGCTAAAGCACATTATTTGTGAGTAGACTCAATATTTAGCTACTACCATTCTCCAAGGGGCTTGAGGTGTATTGGCTCCCAACCCCCTCAATGTATATACATCTGGCATTCTATGACTGTAGAGTTTGAGGGAAGAAGGAAGGTTGTCACTGAAAACCAGATTCAGTGCACAGACAAACTGCCTCGCCTTGGTTACACGGGCATGGTATGTCTAGCCAAGTCAGTGGGTGGATTATATGACCCATTTTATGTGGAAATAGAACTGCCCCAAATCTCTTCCAAATCAAGGAGGTTTCAGAGACTACTCCAAAGCTCCATCAGGAGCTTTTTCATAAATAGTATGTTTTGATCCAGAGCATTTATGGTTATGCAACATGCATGGTCTCTCTCTCTGAAAGAATTTATGTCAGTGGAATAACATGGCATATTAATAACATTACAATAGTTACATATCTCAAAGTAACAGTTATGCAATCTGTTAACTACTGGGACTCTGCTTTTGTCACCGGTCCAGTTCCTCTGGATGGCAGTTCCTTAAGCCTGCTTCATGACCCTTGTTTGCAGGAGCAGCTAGCTCCCTCACATGCTGAAGCACAGCAGTGTTGACATGAACAAGGGCTTAGATATAGTGCAGTTTCAGAAAGGTCTAGAAGAGGTTAAGAGAGAGAAGGAACATTGAAAATACTGTAAGACATACTTTTTAGTTATTTTCTTTTTTTTTTTTTAAGTACATATTAAACCAAGTACCTCAGTTTTGGGTCCTTGTATATGTGTTTTTGATTACTCCATAATCTGTGACTATTGTGACACAAACTATGTATTTTATTGCCATAGGTAAGTTCATTTTCACTTACTTCAGGCATTTGTTGTGGGTTTTTTAAAATACATTTTACAGGTTACAGATTATTAAACAATGCATTCTGAAGTGTAGCTGTTGTGTTTGTTTTACTTCAGTCTGAATGACATCTGCTGGACATCTAGCAACATGTTAAGGAGAGCAGCTTTATTTCTGATTTGCTGACCCATGATTGATCTGAAGTTGGAAAGGGAGACTGTATCCTGCTGGAAAGCAGAGAATGGCACAGACAAGCCCCAGCCATCCAATTCCTAATTTTTTTTGTTTCTTCAAAGGAATGCTACAACAACTTCTGAAACATTATTCTCTAGACACGGGACGATATGAGGAGATACCCTTAGACATACTCTCTAGGGATTTCCTAAACACCTATTTCTTAAACAGGGAATAGAAGGAAAGAGAACTGAGAAAGGGGAAAAGAGGCCTGTATGTTCATATATGTGGTACAGTAAAGGAGAAGGAAGAAACTTATTCTTTCTACTGGCATAATTGCACAGTCGGAATGAAGTAAATGCAGTACAAAAACCCATGCATACAGATATTAAGAGTATAGTGGGAATAATAGCAGGTAGGTTCAAAGTATAATATTTTTAGCAGGGAAAAAGGAAAAGAAATAGGAAGGCATTTGTGGTGTAGGTAATAGCAATGGCACAGTTTCTAAAGGTGAAATGGAGACAAAAATTACAGCTTTAAAAGACAAATTAAGCTCTCAGAATGAGCAAAGTAACTTTTCTGTCAGTAACTGCCAAGGGTTGGGGACAAATACTTGTGATAAATATTAATGTTCTACATAACACATTTATTTTCATAAATAATTTGGAAGACACAAGTTAATATGAAGAAACAGATGTATGTTATAGCAGTTGCCAGACATTCAAGAAGCCACTGTGCATGAGGTGTTAACTCAAAGCAGTGCTCTTGTTTGTACTTGTTTGTTTTCACACTGTGCTGTTTATGTAAGAGGGATTGGTTCACGTGCTTGAAAGCATCACTGTGGTATATGAATAAGTCCTTCAATAAGGATGTTCATATAGAGTCAATGAACAGAAAAGTTCTGAATGGCTTTTTAGCTGATAAAACGTTTACAAAGAAGATAGCGTCTAGATTAACACAGTAATGTAGTAAATTACTGTTTAATATTTGCATCTGGCATACAGATGTATGTAGTTAATGATTTATTACATATGACATACATTATGTGTGTACTTATATAAATGTGGAATGGGAAAAATATGTAAGACTCTCAGTCGTGTCTGTCAAATACATATATAAATCTCTTTCTTACACTGAAATAAATTCTGAGTGGTGGCAGAGAACATGCAATGGGAGAGTGGGATTAATGAGATCCAAGGAAGCTTGTACGAAGGGCTAAAAGTAACCCATGGGAAGTACACCTGAAAAAACAGCATGTAAAAAAAAATATTCCAAACTTTATTTATAAATGTCTTTTTTCATTATTTTAAGCATAAGTATTCTAACTATTACAGGAATCGAAATCTCTCTTACTCAAAACCGTATGGATCAAAATCAGCTTTGAGCTGAGAAACGTTTAAATCTTATAATAAATCATAAATCATTTCAACATATAAAATATTTTGTCTTTCACACAGTAATGCAGAATTAGTATTATGCACTTTTTTCATACAGTCATAGAACTTAAGTGGCAGAAGAGATACTTTTTAGTTTACAAGTACACAAAGTTAGGTTTAAGCAAATCTTAAGACCCTAGAAAACTGGACTCACAGGAAGAACATTGGCATGTGTTAATCCAAGCAATGGAAGCTCTTAAGTTCATTGGCCAATGAAAATTACTGTTGTTTCTGCTCTTTTGACTAGTTTTGAGCTAAAATAATCTAAGGTACTTCAAGTGTATTCCAAGGTATGTTATTATAGTGTGTAGTGAATCAGTTAATATCAAGCATAGCTTTAAAAGGTTTTTTTCTTGGTTTTGTTTACTTTGGCTAACAAAACTATGCCGATGGCCTATACATCTACTCTTTACAGCATAAATAAGGCTTTACAAGTATATTTTTAAAATATTTATAAGGTATGATGACACTGTGCTCCAGAATTTTTTTTCTTACATTTCACCTTTTAAAATGCTTGGAACTGAATCTAGTAAATGTAATGCTTTGTTTTATATACAGATATTCTAGAGAATTCAATAATATCTCATTTCTAAAAGAAATAAATAAAAAGCAATAGCTTGTGTTCTTTGCTCTCTGATGAAGGTTCTGTGAGCATTCACTCTAAGTTGAAACTTACAGAATTTCAAAACTATTTTCAAAACAGTATTTAAACTCAGGTATTTCCAGTCAATTAAAAAAAGGGGAGGTGGGGGGTGGGGGACAGGATGCTGTTATTAGGTAACACTCAGGCAGCACAGTAACAGGCAATAATGTTGCAGTTTAACTCATTTTAAGTTTCAGCTAGATAAATGATGCTTTTTGTTTGGTACATTTATGTGGTGCTTTAGGGAGTAAAATGTAGATTAAAATGATAAATGCTGCATGCAGTACTCTCTGAAAATAATATGGTAGTGCTTCAACAGCTCAGGCCCTCTTTTCCAATAAATTTTAAATAACAAGATAAAACAAATGTAGGCCTGTACCCAGACTAAATGCTTTGCTCTGGAGCTTTCATTTTCTAGTATTTAATATAAAAAGAAAGTTGTTTGCACTGAGACAGCTTTTTGCACAGAATGTATATTGGTATAGTTTCATCATGCATGTCTAATGCAATATGTGGTGTTTTCTCCCTTTAATAATGTATTTGCATGACTATTATTTCAAAAAGCTAACTGAAATAGGCATAGTTAATATTCTGAAGTTGCAGGCACTAAAAGGTGTATGCAGCAACATAAATAGTAAAAGTCTCAACGGTTTTTAGATTATCTCAGATATTAAATTAAAGTTTCTGAGTATAACATACTGTATATACTATATAAAATAATGCATCATACAGACTTAACATGTTGACAAGATACAGCTATTGAGCTTTGAAGGAATGAACAGGTAAAAATGGAACTGAACAGGGCACACTGCTGTTCTAATCAAACACAAAAATATCAGAATAACATTTCATTTTATACCATTTCATTCTTATATTATTCATTGCATTTAGTCTGTCATATGAAACCTATTAAAGTAGTGAATATATCATGTAAAAAAGAAAGTGAAAAAGAACAGCAATTAAATGTAGACAGCCAAAAGAAAAAACTGTAAGAAAAAATGACTTGTGTTTATTATGAATACCTCCCATCCTGTTCATCAAGAATAATACAATTATTTTCTAATTAAGGTGAACTTCTTGGCTCTCAAATCCTTGACTTTGGTAAATGCTATAGTCTGTAGTTACTAAAAAAAAAAAACCTTCACTTTATACAAAAAGCGTCCAATTCTTGGATCGTGACTTGATTTTTGTCCGTGTTCAACTGTTAAGAATATATTTTTGTTTCAGACTTAGGGTAGAAGAAAAACACAGTGGTGAATATTGAAAAGACTCAGTGGAACAAGTTTGTCCATATGAGGCTGAAATTGTGTGCTTGGTATTTGATTCAAGTTGCTGTTTGTTGAGACTTCCTTGAAAACAAAACGATGTGATACAGCTACAGCAACATTTCAAATTAGGATAAAATAATTATGCAACTCTTCAAATTAGTTGCAGAAAAGCAAAGAGGTTTATGTTTTAACATCCTACCCTTTATTTCAGTCACTTTCATAACACCATCCCTAAATTATATTGCATTTCTTTATTGTGGAGAGTGCAGGTGTATATTCATGTTTTTACAATTGTTTTCTCTGCTTGCCAGGATTTCTCCAGGAGAAGATAATTGTATATCCTTTGTTTGACTAGTTGTTAAATAGATTGCTGATACACTTCTTTACGAAAAGGGAAATCAGAACCCCAAGCTGGGCAAACTGAAGCCTTAGGATAATAACTGCAAACACAGTGGTCCATGAAGTATCAGGCATATGATATCTAGCAATGTCCCTCAGAGGTCTAATTGGGATTTATTTCACAGTAGAAAAATGAAGCAAAATAAGAGTCAGACCCTGTATATTGGAGACAAAAAGTATTGCAGTTTCTAGTGTTGATAAGAGTATCTTGCCGCCTTCTTCAGCTTACTCAGAGCCACATTCTCTGTGATCCTTGTACAAGAGGAAGGTTAGATGTAAAATATAACTAGGAGGTCAGTTAGGTCAGCAGTGTTAGGACTCAAGGGTTCCCAGTATTTCAGAAAAAACTGAAATAACCCTGAATTAACTGTGGAACATGCACAGCTACATAACCATGTCAAACAACATGGGAGTACATATCCTTCCGCTGGTGTTCCTGATAAAACTTTCTACCGTACACCAGCCTGAGGAAGCTTGAGGGAAGAACAGGCTAGTTAAGCAAGAGTACAGCCCAACAGGAAGCAGGTTTCCCCTTGTTAGGAGATTTAGGCTTTTGCTTTGCCATTTGTTTAGGTGCCAAAGACCCCAAGAACACTTTTCATATCAGCCAACACCAGTAAATATCAGCTAAATTCCAGATACGCTTCTATTATCCTGACTCATGTAGGCTCTTCCACTGATACATGGATCCCATAACTTATTTGTAAGAAAATTAACAAAATTATGGTTCTATGTCTTCACCAAGTATTTTTGCAAGTTACAAGATTATAAAAATGTTTTGATGTTGCTTACCTCCAGGAAGTGGTGTAAGTATACATACAGAGTATTTTCAGTTTTAAATGAAACTACATTCTACTTTTAGATGAGCAAGGCTGAAGTAAAGGTTTCCTTGCTTATATTTGCTGCCACCAGATGTCACTGTGTAGATGAGTAACTCATGACCCTTTTTCCGTTTTTTAGCTTTTTTTCCCATTTGATTTAATCAAATATGATTTCCAGAAAGATGAACCAATTAGAAATAAGCATGGTTGGTGTGAAAAAGTTAAGAAAGGTAAGTATATATTTTAATAGGATATAACGGCCTTTTGATTGTAATACAAATACTCCAGAGAATTTTTTAAAAGAGCCTTGCTGTTGTGTTACTGTACTATGCCAACATCAACTATTACTTTTTGCTCTGACAAAAGCAATATTATTTCTGATCTAAGACAGAACAGTATTAAACATACCAGTGCAGACACCAGAAGAACTTAGGAGATCCTTGTATATATTCACAGAAGAGCAATGTTCAAATGTGATGATGTGATATTATCTCTGAATATGTAGATAACGACCTCTGTGTTTTTTAAAGGAGGTTAACATAGTGAGATGATTGCCTGAGAGATCTACAAGAAAGACTGGTGGATTAGAGCAGATGCTTTTTGGTGAAAGATTAAGTGTTCCTGACTAAGTGAGTTGATTAAGATTATCAACTTCTATTTTTTAAAAAAGAGATTGCTTGATTATAGCTGTATTCAAAATACTTATCAAATATCTGCTATCTCTTGATTATACATATTTTCAAAGTGTTATCAGATACTGAAGCGTCTCTATTGTACTGTAGAAAGGTAAAAGCTATAATTAATACTCATATTATAGATCAGGCAGACAGCTTCAACAGAGAGCTGAAAGAGATTTTTCAAAGGAGTCAAGAGATTCCCTAACAGGTCTTAATCAAAGATGGGTACTTTCAGGAAAATACGGTCCCCCAAAAGTGAAATTTTATAGGAAATTATCTGTACGGATGTGAGACCCACCTGTGAAGGGAACACATGTTCTAATTAGACACCTGGTCTAATTTTTTTTCAATTATACCAGTCAGTCTAATGAAAAGTATCTCTGTCTATAGGCTTTGTCTTCCCTATGTCCTCTATCTTCAGAGCATCATGGCTGCAGTGACACTACCAGTAAACTAAATGCTTTCACATTAAACACTACCAATTTATGGAAAAAAGGCACAGCTCTTTTATGAGGAGGCAGTCTTAAATTAAAAATTGTGCATACCTTTGGACACACTTTTATATATTTTCATATTTATAATTCTTGTCTCTGATACAAAGTAATGTAATTCTTAAGCTTTATTGTTCAGAATGTGCTTCCAAAAAGGTTAGGAGTTCATACAACTATTCCACTTTCAGCAAACTAACACCCTGATACTGTACATGCATAACAGGATAATCCTATCCCCATCTTTCCCT